TTTAACATTGAATACAATGTTAAATTAGCTTAAATAATCAAGTCCCTAAACTTTTCCTCGTGATGTCTTTTGCCGGCTCGCTATAAAGAATCTTTTTTAATTAGACTAGTTGAGCAATTGCGTGCAACGCGCGTGATAGCCCAAATTGATATTATCGGGTGTGGATATTTTGTAACGTAAGTGTGTGTATGCTATTAATCGGTGTAGATTTGTTTTTTTTTTTTAATTATTATTATTTTTTTTTTCTTATTGCTATATTGATTTTGAATGTATAACAATGTAAATATACTCTAATTGAAAATTGTAATTACGAAAGAAAGAAAGTGGAGCTGGTGATGCGGAAGTTTGGACTTTCAGAAGAACGAGAACGGCCCACTTCTTTATTCTCTTCGCTGCCCGCACCAAGTAAGCACGAGCATCTTCCATGTTTTGTTGCCACTCTCTCTTAAACTCCCTTGCTTCGCGGCTTCTCCCCTCTTCGGATGTTGTTATGGTGTGAGGCAGGAGAGGTTGTTGGCCCATCACCAACTCAAACAGGCTTTTCTTGGATGCGGTACTCTTCTGGGTGTTGAAGTGAAGTTGGGCAACATCAAGGAGTTTCACCGAGTCTTTCTGATTGGTGCTGACGAAATGTCTCAAGTATTCCTCTAAGAGACCGTTGAATCTCTCTGTTTGTCCATTAGATTGGGGGTGGTGACTTGAAGACATGTTTAAGTCCGACCCCATCAATTTGAACAATTCCGTCCAAAATATGCTTGTGAATCTTGTAACTCTGTCGCTAACAATGCTTTGGGGCAAACCCCAATATTTCACAATGTGAGTAAAGAACAATGCCGCCGTCTTCTCAGCACCACAAGCCTTTTGCAGGGGAACAAAGGTGGCATATTTTGAGAATCTGTTGATCACCACCATTATCGCCGAACATTGATCCACCTTGGGTAGACCGCTGATGAAGTCCATAGATATGCTTTCCCACGGATGTGTCGGCACGGGAAGAGGATCTAAGAGACCTCCAGGTTTTTAACGATCCACTTTGTCCTGTTGACAAACCAAGCAGGTCCGAGTGTAACTGATGACATCTTCTTTCATTCCCGGCCAATAATACCCCATGGAGAGTAAGCTTAGAGTTCTCTGCCAACCTGGGTGCCCGGCCTATGGGGTATCATGGCATTCTTTCAAGAGCATCTTCCGTAGGCCTCCCGCCTTCGGTATGAATAGCTTGTTTCCTTGGTGTAAATAAGCCCATCGTCCTTCCAGAAGCGTCTTGTCTTCCCCTCTTCTATCAACCCTTTGATGGTGCTCGTCATGGGGTCCTCAAGGATCGGAGGTGCTGCTTAACCTGTTCTTTTATTGAGGTCGAAACGTTGTTGGCGGTCAGAGTGGACAATCTTTGCACTAAAGCCAAGTTGGCGCACCGACTCAAAGCATCGGCCACTCAGTTGCTGGCTCCTGTTCTGTATGTGAACTCTACATCAAAATCGGCAAGCAATTCTTGCCACCGTGCTTGTTTCCCGGTCAACTTCGGCTGAGTGAGGAAGTGACTGGCTGCGGTGTTATCTGCGCGAACAAAGAGCTTGGCCCCCAGCAGATAGTGCCTCCACCCTCTCAAACAGTGGACAATAGCATGTACTTCTTTTTCTTGAGCAGCATATCTTCTCTCTGCGCCACTTAATTTCTGACTCTCGTATGCGACAGGTTGGCCTTCTTGTAGGAGAACCCCACCTAGCGCAAAATCTGATGCATCTGTTTCTACTTCAAATGGTTTGTTTATATTCGGGAGAGCCAGGACAAGTTCTTTTGTTACTGCTTCCTTAAGCTTGAGGAAAGCTCCTTGCTGCTCGTCTGCCCAACTCCATTTCTTATCCTTCTTCAACAAGTCCGTAAGGGGACTAGCAATTGCCGAGTATCCCTGTATGAACCGACGATAGTAATTAGCTAGCCCCATGAACGATCTTAACTCTGAATTGTTCTTTGGTGCTTGCCAATCGCTGATAGCCTTGATTTTCTTTGGATCCATTCTGATGCGAGCTCCGCCCACAAAATGTCCGAGGAAGTTCACTTCTTTTGTGCAAAAGCACATTTCTCTCACTTCACGAATAAATGATGTTGTCTCAATTTCAAAAACAACATCCTCAAATGGTCCAAGTGGTCTTCCAGAGTACGACTAAAGATTACGATGTCATCCAAGTATACCAGTACAAACTTGTCGAGGTACTCGTGGAAGACCTGGTTCATCAACGTGCAAAATGTTGCTGGAGCATTCGTTAACCCAAACGACATGACCAACCACTCAAAAGCCCCATATTTGGTGACGCAGGCCGTCTTTTCACTAGTAGAAAAACTGAAATCAAACTGGTGCGAAAAAAATAGGCGGGATTGAGGGAAGAGTTTTCGCACCGATTAACCGATGCCTTTTCCTTTAACTACAATAGGCACCGGTTAACCAGTGCCCCAAAATTTCTTTTAAAAACCCTTAATTTACTCTCCGCCTCTTTTCATTCTCTAATCTCCTCTCTCCTCTCTTTTCCCTCTTCTCTGTACTCCTCTCTCTTCTCTGTACTCATCTGTTCTTCATCCTCTTTCCTCTCTTCGGTTTCTTTTCTCACTTTTCTTCGTTCATCTCTGATCTCTCGTTCTTCTCTCCTTCTCTCTCATCTCTCATTCTTCTTTCTCTTCTCAACAACCACGAAGATTCGAAACCAATCAAGAAGCAACCATCGCCGCCGCCGTCAACAATTCGAACCATGCAAGCATCAGCCACCGTCATTAGAACCAAGTGGTAAATTGCCTTGATTGTTTTGGGTTTAATTGATGTAATATTGCGGGTTTCTGGGTTCTGGGTTTTTTTTGGATTTTTGGGTTTTGAGTTTTCTGGGTTTCTTTGGGTTTTGGGTTTTTGGATTTCTTTGGGTTTCTGGGTTTTTCTGGGTTTGAAATTTCTAGGGTTTTCTTGGTTTTTTCTTAGTTTTTTCTGGGCTTATATTTTACAGAGTTTTGGTTAGTGATGGGTTGTTTGCTGTTTATCTGGGTTTTATTTGCAAAGTCTTATTTTGTTTGATTTAACTACGATCGCCTATACAATGTGGTTTTTTTTTTTGCTGTTTGACAAAAACATACTCTATGCTTTTGTTTGTCCTGTAATTCTTACAATTTGGTGGCTTTTCTTCTTCCTTCTCTTTTCCATGGGAAGTTCAACTCATAATCTGGCTTTGGTGTATGTTTATGCTTAACTAGTTACTAGCTAGTTAATTATCATCTTAGATTTTTAAGTGTTTTTCTATTGGAATTTTGTTTTCAATTATGAATCGAATGTCTTGGTGAAAGATGATTTATGAGCATATTTAGAATCTTCAACTTTAAAATCTTGACTGAAATATACAGTAAACTGTATTTAATTAATGCTTTTGATTTTTGACTGTTCTTTGTTTAAATCTTGACAGTTGCAACAGGCAAGAAATGGCAAGAAATATTCAAGATTCAAGGATTTTTCTGGGTTCATTATTGTTGCGTTTTTTTTTGGTGTAAAATAACAATTTTTTTGATGAATATATATATATGTGATTAATGTATATTACAATTTTGGTGTTTGTTTTTTTTTTTTTTTTTGAGGGAAACGATTCTGATGAATTTTGGTGTGAAAAAATAGCAATTTTTTTTTTGAAGGTATAATGGGCACCGGTAACCGGTGCCAAATGTTATTAAAATCAAAATACAAAAATCGCGGCACTTACTTTTAGCACCGGTTAACCGGTGCTAATTCTTAGTTTTCCCACCGCTTTTGAACCGGTGCGAAAAGTTTTTCTTTTTAGCATCCCTCAAATCCGGACCGGTTCAAAACCGGTGCAAAAGGGGGGTTTGAACCAGTGCGGAATTACATTTTTCGTCTAGTGTTTGCTCGTCTCCTTGAGCAATTCGAACTTGATGATAACCCGACCTCAAATCCAATTTGGTGAAATAAATAGCATCTCCCAGTTGGTCGAATAAATCGGCCACCAAAGGCATGGGGTAGTGATTTCTCACCATCAGCTTGTTTAAAGCCCGATAATCGATGCATAATCTCAAACTCCCATCTTGTTTCTTCTGGAAAAGAACTGGTGCACCATATGGCGCTCTAGAAGGTCGAATGAACCCGACTTCAAGTAACTCATCTAGCTGTGAGCAACTCAGCTAGCTGAGGAGGTGCCATTCGGTAGGGGCTCCGCGCGGGAGGTCTAGCACCTGGCACCAACTCCCATAGTGTGATCAATGGCTCTCCGGGGAGGCAGTGCTTTTAGAAGCTGCTTTGGAAGAAGGTCGGCAAATTCTTCGAGCAACCCTTCCATGGCAGGAGGGAGATCGCTCCCCGTCTCATCTTCTTTCCCCTGAGAGAGTAGCGAGGAATGTTGGCTCATTTCTCTTCATTCCCTTTTGAAGTTGCATCGCGGACAAGAGAGGTCCTTTCTGACCTTTTTCCTTCTTTAATCTGCGGACACGTCCGTAAGAGGCAAGGATGGTTGCCGGAAACAAGTAAGGAGCCCAGGTGGGGCATCGGAATAGCTTTGCTAACATGGAGAGAATCCATTCCCAGTACCATATCAAAATTATCCATTGTTTCCACGGTGAAGTCGAGTGTCCCACTCCAGTCTCCAATCTTGACCTCCACGTTCTTTGTGATACCGTGGATCGGGCGAGCTTATGAGTAAACAGTTTTCATGCTGCCTCTGCCGCGCACCACTTTCAACCCCAGTCGGTTAGCAATATCTTTGGTGATGAAGTTGTGGGTGGCTCTAGTGTCAACCATTGCTCGAACCTTCTTCCCATTAATCCACACTTCCACGTACATTAGTCATTTGATGGATGTTTATCTTCCGACATCTCTGTTCCCATGGCGTACATAAAGTGTACGGAACTCAGCTTTGAGGGTTCTTCCTCGCTATTCTCCTCTTCCTCCTTATTCCTACTTTGTCATGTTCGGTGGACATTGAGGAGAGTTTCTTGTGAAGATTGTCGATTTCTCCCTTATGTCGACACTCGAATCATTTGTGAGGTCCGCGACAAAGTATACAAGTGAGGGGCTTGTTCCATTAGGAGGAGCTGGAGGTCGCACCTTTGTTGGTCGACGCGAAAGCTCTATTCCTTTAAGAGTCATCTCCCCCACTCTTGTATCTGCTCCCCACACTGTTCGAACTGACTTAGGAGTTCCCGGTGGTGCTCTTTGGGGTACTTGATGCTGACCCACTAGTCCCTTTCTTCTGGTTCAATCCCTTGTCCGACGAGTAATCCATCAACCTTTCAGCTGCGGCTATGGCCCCTGACAAGGTGTCTATCTTCTGGCGCCAAATCTCCCTTTGGGCCCAATCTTTCAAATCCCGGACAAAGTTAAACAGACAATCCTTCTCAGACATGTCATGGATTTCTAACATGCACCAGAGTACTCTTTAACATACTGTCGAATAGAGTTCTTATGTTGTAAGGTTGCCAATTTTGTACGGGCCACAAACTCAGTGTTGTCTGAGTAGAATTGTTCCATTAGTTCCTTCTTTAGGTCTTCCCAAGTATCTACCGACGTCCTTTTAGCTTGAATGTCGGCGTACTTGGTGCGCCACCACAATTTAGCATCGTCCACCAAATACATTGTGGCAGTATCTACCTTTAGCTCGTCCTCCAACTGACATATGCGGAAGTATTGTTCCATGTCAAAGATGAAGTTATCAACTTCTTTTGAGTCTCTAGTGCCATTAAAGGTTCGAGGCTTGGGGGGCTTTATCTTGGCACCTCCACTTCCCCCGAGCCCTCTTTGGGCACGCATCAAGGTAGCACATTTATCTAGTGCATCGTTAACCAATCCTTGCAAGCAATTGAGCTACTCCGTCAACCCATCCACCGTCAACATAAGCTTCTCCATCTGATCGGCTTGCTTTATCACAATATCTTCAAGTTTGGGTATCCTTTCTTCAAGCATAGCCCATTGTTCCAACTTGCTTTCAAGCTAGGCAAGTCGTTCTTGCCACGTATATTCAGGCATCTCCATGTTCGCCATTTCTAAAGCAACTCGTCTCTGATACCAACTGTCACAGTCCGAGTGTTTTGACACCGGATCGTGCGGTGTGTTCTTGTCTTTTGGCGACAAGGACGCAAGCCTAGAGCGGAAAGGGTACGTGAGCACACGGCAACACAGACCAAGTAGTGTATCTCAAGGAAGCACACGTCTACAACGAGTGCGGAGCGGGGCTTGTGACGACCGATATTTCGAAGCGGGCACAAGTGGGATCGACGACTACGAGGGCGTCTTTTGAGGTTATCTTGGTTTGGAGGGGATGCTTTAAAACAAGGCAAGCACAATATCTATAAAGGCTTAAATCAACACATAAGTCTTAAAGCAATATGCAACCGGGTAGGGAGCTTTGATTCATTCAACCATTCGCTCCCTAAAGAGCTTTATATTAATTACATAGAGAAATACTAGTGAACACTGAAATTACAGTAACACAATAATTCTCCCTAGAGCCTAGAAAGTAAAAAAAAAAAAAAGACTTAAAAGACAATACATAAGGAAAACATAAGGGAAAAGGAAGGGGATACGTGGAGAAAGAGGCTGATTCTAACACTTTGCCTTGAATAATCCTACATAACCCTACAGAGATGGAAATTAGTGACCCAACATGCCTTGTGATATAATTGTACTCCGTATAGAAGAGAAAAGGGCCAGAAGGGGGTTTGAAAATGGAGAGTATATATGTATAGTCATATCCATAGAAATGTTCACAGGAAGAGGTCATAAAAGGGAAAGGTTTATATATGAGGTCATAAAATGTTGTATTCTTGGTTTGCAGCTACAAGAGAAAAGCTGTTAGTGTCACAAAATGAGAATAAAAGCTAAGGGTCAGAACTCTCTGAAGCGAGATTTATTAGTGGCTTGCTGAATGAGCTAGTCAGAGATCATTGTAGGAAACATGACCTCTTAGGCTCTTATTACCTGTCTAAGAGGGTAAGTATCTCCCACCACCCTCATCGGGAGGATTTATACCCTCAAAATGAGGATAATTATTGCTACATACCTCCTTCAACCCACCACTACCCATCTTTCTTGGCTTTATTTTCACTTATTAGTTATTACCCTTATAATTCATTAATTTCCAATTCAAGCCTGCCTTTAAGATACAGAGATTGTCTGCTATTATCTTCTGCTTTTTATATTCAAGAAGTGAATATAGTACGTGATGCATATTTATGTTAGAGCTAAGATCTTGATGTGTTGATAAAATGCAGATTGGCGAGTGGAAAAGCTAGTGAGGGCTCTTTTTGGAGTTGCCAGTTGCTGTCAACCAGCAGGTAATCAGTTATATTTGTTGATGAAATTGATTCCCTTCTGTCGCAGGTAATGCTGGTCTCTGAACTTCCTCTATGGAGGAAGAGGGCTCTTATCGTCTTTATTGCTTCTTTATGGACTTGACTGCGGACAATATTTGCCTCAGTGTATGGGATTCTTGAGATTCAAATTTATAGAAAGAAGGCTTTAAGAGAAAATGTGACCACATATTTAATTATATGTTTGAAGATGAACAATTTCAGATCTCGCATGAATCCTAACTTTCTCTATTGCTGAAAAGCTTTATAAAAGTTTATTTTGTGACAGCGCAAATCAGAAGGTGAGCATGAAGCATGTAGGAGACTCAAGACTCAGTTTCTCATCGAGATGGAAGGCTTTGACAATATTAGTGAACAGATTCTGCTTATAGGTGACTGTTCATACTGGTATGGCAGATATCCAACTTGACTACAGATGATCTTTTATAGTACAACCTGCCCCTTTAGGTGGAGTATTCACTGTATTAAAATGCTTAACAATTGCAATTATTTTGAATTTTACATCACATATATTTAGCTTGGTCTTCAAGCAAAGATGTTAAACTACAATGGCTCTCTTGTAAAAGTTGGGCTTCCAAATCTCCTATTTTATTCTTGTTGATGTCTTTGCTGTTACCAATTCAACATGGTTGCACTTGGATGCCAAGGGCTAGCCTGTTGCATCAGTGTTTATGGGCATGACAGAATGGACTCTTTATGCTTAGTTATTGCTCCGAATGGTCTTTTTCATGTTTTGAATGGAGCGGGTATCAATTAACATTTCAAAAATATGTGTATTATGCAGAAGCTACAAATAGGCCTCAAGAACTCAATGAAGCAGCAATGAGGCGGCTTACTAAACGGCTGTACATACCACTCCCTTCTGCAGGTCATTGTCTCTCCTTGTTGCCTAAATTTCTAGCTGATATCACGGACTGGATAATAATAATATTATGGATGCACAGAAGCAAGGGCCTGAATACATAATTGTTATCAACTGAACTGCTGTAAACAATAAAAACAGAACAATGTTACCGGGAATAAGACTGAGTCGCGGACTATGTCGCTCTCTTTAGAACTCGAATTATTTCAGAATGGGTTTGTGGAAAGTATTTCTGAAGAATATAAACTGTAACGGTTAAGGATTGATTATGAAATCTGTGGCGCATGCGTGTTATATTGGTTTGGTAGGTAAGTCCTTCCTCTCCACAAAATGTGGGTAGCCCAAGGGCCACACCCTTTTAGATGACACATACCTATATAAACCAAGCAACACTCTCACTTCCCACCAATGTGGGAGTTTACCATTTTCACAAATTCACACTTAAAACAACTTTGTTCCAACAATAATCTCCTGGAAAAAGATGTGGGCTGTTTAGACTCTCAAGTCTCAAAAGAGGATATTGACATAATCTGCAAAGTGATTTTTTAGAATATGCTGAACTGATTTCTTATAAGCTTCGTCTGTATGAGGTGTGTTCTTCTCATCTCCATTTTTTTATTTATATTTTTTACATTATATTGTTTAGTTATTCACTCGTATCTTTCCCATTTCATCAATTATGATGGATCACTTACTTAAAATTGACCTCTTTCTCAATGCAGAAAAGTTACCACTATGTTGGGTTACTAAAAGCAGTAATGAGGCTGTCAACAGGCTCTTTAAAGGCTGCAGATGCAAAGGAAGTTGCCGCCTCAGTTACAGCAATTGCAAATGAAAAAATGAAGGCAGAGAAAGAGGCCAATGCGGGCAAAAAGAAAACAGGTATTCTTCTATATTAAAGCCGTGTATTCGTGGCCTATGTTGCCCAGAGTGGTTTAGATGAGGAAGCAAGGAACTGAACTTGCCAGTATGCTGAATGATATAGACGAGGAAGCAAGCAATTGAACTTGTGAACTTTTTGGTTGTTGTTCTAAAGGTTTTTTTTCATCCTTGACCTTGACCTTGACCTTCTCTTATGCTGATTTTTTAGTGAATCTCTCATAATCTAAATCATTTTCACTTTATATCTGTCAATTTTGTGTTGCTTATTCCTTTGAGTTTAAATTTATGTAGAGAAATGTTTTAGCCTAAGTTGCATCTTTGTGCAAGATCTTGAGGGGTTGCTTCTGAAGTGCAAGATCTCTTTGTGCAGTCACCCTTTAATCCTCCACGTCCATTATTTTCCATTAATGTATATGTTGCTTATGTCCATTAATGTGTCTGTTGGTCGTTTTCAGTTCATTATCTTACGTTCCCCATTTGTTGTTACTTGAGATTTATAATTCATATCAGTATTCATCTTCTACGTTAATTTTACTAATTAAGGTCTATTTTATACCTGGTAATGTTTTTAAAGCAAACAACCTTTTGATGATGTCTTGCAGGCTTAAAGAAAAAGCAGCTTCTTGTTGATAAGCCTGATGATGATTTGGCTGTTGCTGCCTACGATGATAATGATGATTATGATTTCATGTGAGCACATAATGATTCATATATTCAAGCATTCAAGCTGAATCCTTTGATTGTTCGAGATTGTGAAAATTTTCAAGTCCCTTCTCCACACCAACTTTGGTATACAGTATATAGTTATGTTATGTCTGGATTGGAGATGAAGACCGAAGAGATATCCTTAAGGATAGCGTCACATTGCCCAGTTGAATTCAGCTGGTGCCCCTCGTTTGGAACTGAATTTTTGTACGCTTGCATAATTATTCTGTAACGATTAGTTCACACATCGATTTACTGTGCAAACCTGTATTTGATTGGTTCACACAAGCTGATTGCTACTTATGATAATCAAGATCTCTGTCATTTCTACGCCTATTGTTACTCATACAAACATCTAAGCATTCCGCTTTTCTTTTACACGGCATATACTTAATTTCATTTTTTACACGCCTTAATACGTAGTCCAACTTAAAATGTGGAATAAGCATGGATTGAGCTCCTCCCAGGTTGACATTCTTGGGCAGTAAGAATGACATATTTGTGGCGATGATGAAAACAAACAGTAGTAATTACGTTTAAACCACAATAATTAAAATATAATTATCGTGGCATTCAACTAAACTTATCCGCTTCCTTTTCGTTTGTCGCAAGTAAGTTTGTTCAATTGTTTGTGTGGTTTAAATCTTTTTTCTTTTCTTTTTCTTTTTGGACTTTCAATTGGGGCCTTTGGGGTTGTTGCTTCCTTCCTGACGTTTGCTGTGATGTGTCAAGAAACTACATTTCTATTTACGTTGTCATATAACTCCATCCGTTTCTAAATACTTGCTCCACTTTTCTTTTTTCGGCCGCTTTTAAATACTTGCTTCATTTCCTTATTTGGAAAACTTTTACAATATTTAATTCATTTCTCTCAATTAATGAACCCAACATAAATCATATTTTATTAATGTCATATTCTCTCAACTACTTTTGCTTTTTATAATTTTTCATTCTTCCACCTACCCCATTACCTTCATATTTTATTACTAAATCCAATTTCTCCTAAAACTCCGCGCATGAAGAAATGGAGCAAGTATTTAAAAACGGAGAGAGTGTCATACTTTTGTACTCCATATTTTATATTTTATAATTAAAACCTTCTAGGATTATATTGTACAAATAAAATAATTAAAATATCCTTATTATTGAACCATTTTGGTTAAATACATTTGTCATTCACTATTTTGACCATTAGTAACTCAATTATACTTTATTAAATTAGAAAATTTAATTTATGGGAAATAATGATATCAATTTTTGTACATTATTAAATAAATAAATATGGTCAAAGTTGATATATACTCCAACTAAGATAGTACCGTATTTTGTTATTGTTCGTGTAAAAAGAGTTTTCGAACTTGATAAACATGATTATTAATTCCAGATAGATAATATCTTGAGTTTGTTTGGGCAGAAAGAAACCACCGGTATTATTCACACTCCTTTATAAACCTTTAAATCAATTAAAACCTGACTTTGTCTTCAAAAAGAAAAAAAAAAAAAAATTAAAACCTGACTTTGTGTTTGTTTGTACCGACTTTGAGAGACGACATTTCTTCTTCATCTTTCTCTTTCTATTTCTCTGTGACTTTATGCGAAGGCTTGTTCAACACGCCTCTGTTTTACATTCCTCCAAACTTAAAGGTAACCTTTTTCACCTCTTTTACAAAAATTTCATTATTCAAGCTTCATTTCTCTGTTACTGTACTAGTAATTTTTACTTTCATGATAGTTTTGATTATGATTATCTCAATTAAATTGTGTGATAGTGACTGTTGTTTGAGGTGATTGTTTTTGGAAGGATTTTAGAGGTGATTGAAATTTGAATTTATTATTGGTTAATTATGATTTGAATGATCTTTTCGTTCATTGTGAAGTGGTTATTTTGCTTAATTTGAGCTTATTATGAGGATGAAAATTCACTTCTTATATAATTACAGTAGAATATTTTCTGGATTTTTTGAGCAATTTGATGGATAAATTATTAAATTTTTATACTCGAGTGTCCCCTTCCATCAGTTCCATGTGTACGGTATACCAATTACCCATGAAGTGCAGGTGTTATTGTGTTAATGTACCTTAGAATACTTTTTATGGGTCCAAATAAGAAATTATAATTCGATACTTTAGGACACCTAAATACTCGTATTTATTTATTTTACCTCTTTTGTTTTTGCTAAATCTTGTTAAGAGATGTTGTTTATTAAATTTGCTTTGAAAATTCATTTGCTTTATGGTACAGATATATTGATTATTTGATTATGATTTTTCTATGTATTTCTTGGTGAAATTATATGTTGTACAAGTTAGAGCATGTGACTCTTAGAATGTGAGGGAGTGTAATCTTAAACCTTTTTTTTTTTTTTTTAGGAAAGTGTAGTTTTGAGTACAGGAAGTAAGATAGCAGTTGTGTTTTCAAAAGAAAAAAAAAAATAATAAAATAAAATAAGGAGTAGGCCGGATAGCAGTTGCACATTTTTATTTTTATATATACAAGCTAAGAGAATGCGTGTGTGTGCAATATAAATAATTTGTCAAGCTCGATTTTTTTTTTTTTTTCACGATATTATCTCCTTAATTATTCTAATAAAAAAAATATACTAGATGAAGCCTGTGCGATGCACGGTTTTTTTGTATTTTATTTACAACTTATAATTTTTTTTCCTATTTGTGATAAAATTTGTTACTTTATTTATTCGTTGTATGTAGTATATTATATTATCATTTGATATTTTTATTTTATTTATTTTAAAATAAATATTGAATTTTCTCTCATTCGTTATATATTTAGATGAAGTTCCTAATATCAAAAGATAATATTTTACATTTATTAATTTAAACTTTAAAATTTCATTCGCCAATTTTATTTTGTTAACGTAGAACTTAATCTTTAAGACGAATAAATGATAAATGATGAACATTTTTTTTTTTGCTAGAAAAAGAGAAAGGATATATTTTTAATTTCAATGATTTTTTCTTATTTTTTGTATTTAATTTAAAACTCTTTTTTTTTTTGAGAGAAAACTGATTTTTTTATAATTAAACGTGATTTCATTTTTTTTATTAGTATATTTTTATAAAATATCTTATTGTAATTCCTTGTCATATTTTCATTATTTTTTTATATAATCCAATTTTATTTAAATATCAATTGAACGTGAATTTTTTTTTTTTTAAGTTTATTAGTATTTTTTTATATATACGAAATAAAATAAGTTGTTCTTTTCTCTTAGATAAAATTTCCAATTTAAAAAGATAGTATTTTATTTTTATGATAAATTTTAATTTTTAATTTTAATCTTACGTGGTGCTTTAAAATAACAATCCTACGTGGCATAATCCTATACCTAACGTTCTAAAAATACTAATCCTAGGCGGCTCTCTAAAATTTTGGGAAAAAACTCCCCTTTATATTTTGATTTTTTTTTGAAACAACTTCCCTTTATATAATTTAACGTGATTTCATTTTTTTTATTAGTATATTTTGTAAAATATTTTATTATAATCACTTGTCATATTTTCATTATTTTTTTTATCTAATCCAATTTTTTTTAAATATCAATTGAATGTGAATTTCATTTTTTTTTAATTTTAATAGTATTTTTTTTATATATACGAAATAAAATAAATTGTTTCTTTTCTCTTAGATAAAATTTCCAATTTAGAAAGATAATATTTTATTTTTATAATAAATTTAAATTTTTAATTTTAATCTTACGTGGCGCTTTAAAATAACAATCCCTAGCATAATCCTATAAGTAACGGTCTAAAAATACTAATCCTACGTGGTGCTCTAATAATTTTTTAAAAATAAAAATCCTAGGTGGCTCTCTAAAATTTTTGGAAAAAACTCCCCTTTATATATATATATATATATATATATATATATATATATATATATATATATATATATATATATATATTTTAGAGGTTTTAAAAATTGTTGATAAAAACAATAAAAAAAATAAGTTACTAAAAAAAAGGAAATTTGTTCCGTGTGCCCTTGAGGTTTTAAAAAATGCACCGTGTACCCCTGAAAACTTTCAAATGCATCGTGTACCCCTGAGGTTTGTAAAAGAAAATGCACAAATACTCTGATCATCTAATAATGCACATATCATCAACTTATCAAACTAAAATCATGCCCGCACACTAACTCCCTTTTAGTACTTTATATTTATGCAGTAAAACCACCTAAAAGTATAAATTACATCAAAATTTAAACTCCATCGATCATTCTAAATCCTAAACTTTTGGGTATTATAATTTGATTTATTAATTAAGTTTACTTGAGAATTAAATGGTTTAGCATTACAATAGCATTACACTGTAATAATTTGTTATGAGTCTAGAGGCATTTGGTGCAATTTTTTACAAAGCTTAGGAGTACACGGTGCATATTGTAAAACCTTAGGGGTACACGGAACAATTTCCCTAAAAAAAATATGTTGATGATGTCATGTAAGCTAAATAATAAATGAGAGGGGTAATTTTAAAAGTGAAATTTATCACCCAAAATCCCCTTTCACTTTATATATAGGATGTCACGACGTTACAAAGGCGCCACATTCAATTAATATATTTATATTAGTATAAATTTAATGCTTGTACCTTTTTATTAATTTTATTGCTTAGATTGTTCAACTACTGGTTTAATACGGATTGTATGTTATTTATAACTAACAAATTGGATGATGCGGCGTCATTACTGTGAAGGCTTTGTTCTCTTCACCTTATCTAAGGTTTTGATATGAATTTTAAGGTCTAATTTGGTTTGGTATGAATTTTATGGTTTGTATATATTGTATGGTCTAAATTTATTGTAATTGTTATCTTTATAATTTTGTCCAAGTAGGTTTAGTCTAGAATGAACTATTTTGATTTTAATGAGATTGTGAAAATCAATACTCCATAATACGAAATATAAGTGATAAGAACAAAGTGAAGATAACAAAACTCTACTACGAAGTGTTTTAAATGTTAAGGTGCAAAAATCTACACATAACACTATATAAAAGAGAACCCCATGTAGCATCTTAATTTTTTTATTGTATTTTATTTGGGTGGTGTTGGGTGTTGCTCTAGTAATCTTGTTTGCTTGATTTAGAATTTTTGGGGATAGTGTTGCTCAATTATTACGAATTATTTTTAATTCATTTATTTTTTGTTGCAAAGAATCATACGATTTAAAGACTATCAACAAGTGGGGACTGAGCATAGTCATTTTTGTAAAGCTGATTTTCATTCACTAGAATTTTATTAGCTTTGCATGCTTTTCCTGGGCCAGATTTCCACTGACAGTATTCACACTATAAACTCTGACAAAATCTGTGTCTTATACTGTGCTGTACACTTTAGTTGTGCTTTTATAAAAGTTTTAATTTTATGGCTGAAAACCATCTCTAAATTCTAACAGATTCTTGAAGAGAGGAACATACTGCAAATATGGAGATATGATTTTTGATCATTGTAACAGCATGCATTGCAGCTCTTCTTAAGGCTTTGGTTTCATTGGTGGTGTCTAAATCTAAACCAAATATTCCTCCGGGACCTCGTGGTTTTCCAATCATTAGCCGTATCCAATGGCTAGGGAGATCATCCACAGATATGGAGGCAGCCCTCAGGAGACTTTGCTCCAAATTTGGGCCAATCGTCTCCCTACCTATTGGTCGATATCCTGTTATCTTTATTTCCAGCCGTACAATGGCTCACCAGGCCTTGATTCATGATGGGGCTGTGTTTGCTGACCGTCCTAAGCCTCTCCCTACTAGTGAGATTATTACTAGTAACCAGCACAACGTCAGTTCAGCTAGTTATGGTCCAAATTGGAGACTATTCAGGCGAAACCTGACTGCTCAGATCCTTCATCCTTCCAAGGCTAAAGAATTTTTTCATGCCAGGAGTTGGACCCTTGAAATCCTGCTTAATAGTCTCAGGGCTTCCAGTGGCCAAGATCATGCTGATGTTGTCAATGTGATGGATCATTTTCGCTTTGCCATGTTCTGCCTGCTTGTGTTCATGTGTTTTGGGGATAAGTTGGATGAATTCCAGATCAAAGAGATTGAAGCAATTCAGCACCGCTTACTGACATCCTTCAGTCGCTTTGCAGTACTCAATTTGTGGCCTTCATTGACTCGGATTTTGCTCCGCAGTCGTTGGAATGAGCTGATCAACATGAGGAATAAACAGGAAGAGATATTATTTCCTAAAATTAGAGCAAGGAAACGTCTGTTAGAGGAGGCAAAAATCCCTGATGATCAGAGCAAAAGATTAGTCAATTGTTACGTGGATAGCTTGTTGACACTGGAAGTCCCAGAGGGTGACAGCAAGAGAAAGCTGACAGAGGACCAACTGGTGAGTTTTTGTTCTGAGTTCCTCAATGCCGGAACTGATACTACCTCAACAGCCTTGCAGTGGATTATGGCCAATCTTGTCAAGTACCCGAAAATTCAGGCTAAGCTTTTTGAGGAAATCAAAGGAGTTGTTGGAGAAGAAGCTGCAGAGATCGGAGAAGATGAACTGTCAAAGATGCCTTATCTGAAGGCTATAGTATTAGAGGGACTGAGAAGGCACCCCCCAGGTCACTTTGTTCTTCCACACACTGTCACCCAAGATGCAGAGTTGGGCGGATACACAATACCTAAAAACGCAGTCATAAATTTTATGGTTGCCGATATTAATTTGGATCCTGAGGTCTGGGACGATCCGATGCAATTTAAGCCTGAGAGATTCCTGACAGAAGTAGGGAGCTGCGAAGAATTTGATATCACAGGAAGTCGTGAAATAAAGATGATGCCTTTTGGTGCAGGCAGGCGGATTTGCCCAGGACTCAGCTTGGCTATGCTTCATCTGGAGTATTATGTGGCCAATTTAGTTTGGAACTTTGAATGGAACGCTGTGGACGGTGATGAGGTGGATTTATCTGAGAAGCAAGAGTTTACTACTGTGATGAAGCATCCACTCCAAGTCCATCTGTCTCCTAGAATAAAGTAAATAAGCAGCCCTTCCTTTTATTTTTGATCTTGCATGAACCCCATTTATATATTGCACTTGCAGTTTGCAGTTTGCAGTTTTGCAGCATTGTAATTTTTCTTTATCTCATCCGTCTTTGTATTTGAATATTGACATGTCTATGGAATATAAATAAGTCACATTAATCTCTCAGATCATAGAATTTGCTGCTGGATCACTATTCAGAAAAGATTGTCTGCAATTGTCAGTCATAGCAGCCTTATCCTTGAAATTGGTAAGCTTCTATTTGCAGTTGAACCCATGTTTGAAATAATTAATTGACCTTATCACCAGATGATTTGATTGCTGAAGGTCTTATGCTTATTACTAGTAATCCGTAGATATTTGTTAATATAGTGTAATACTACTTAATGAAAGATTATGCTAGTAAATCTACTCCGTTTATTGTTACAATCTTCCTTGAAAAGCTTGACTTGTGCCCTTGTGTATATTCTATTGTTTGACAAGTTGTTTACAACAAAAAAGCGACGAATTGTTATGTTATAATGCTGTTCCAAGCAAAATTAATACGTACTATGTATTAATTGTCAGACTGACGGATCTGTACCAACTGACCTGTTTATATAGTTATCTTCGGGGAAATGTGGGCATGGAGAGGATGTTTCATTACAATGCTAAATTCTTGTTTCTCGGACAAATCAATCTCATCTCCCTCTATAGCTTCCCATTTAAAGTTCCAAACCAGATTAACCACAAAGTATTGCAGGTGAAGAATAGCCAAGCCAATGGCTGGACACATCCTTCGTCCAGCACCAAATGGCATCATCTTTATTTCGCGCCTTCCTGTTACATCAAATTCTTCAGTCCCCTGAATTGACAGAAATCTCTCAGGCTTGAATTGCATTGGACTCTCCCATAATGCAGGATCCAGGCCCATCTCTGCAACCATGAAATTTATGATTGCATTCTTAGGCAGGGTATACCCACCCAACTCTACCTCTTCGGTCAGAGCATGAGGCAGAACAAAGTGACTTGGGGGGTGCCGTCTTAGTCCCTCTAATACTACGGCCTTAAGGTAAGGCATCTTTGATAGTTCATCTTTTTTAACTTCTGTACAATTTTCTCCAACGACTCCCTTGATTTCTTCAAAAAGCTTAGCTTGGATATGTGGGTATTTAATAAGGTTGGCCATAATCCACTGCATCGCTGTTGTTGTAGTGTCAGTTCCTGCATTAAGAAATTCAGAACAAAGATTCACCAGTTCCTCTTCTGTTAGCTTTCTCTTTGCTGCGGTTCCATTCCCTTCCTCAGGAACCTCTAGTGTAAACAAAGTGTCCACATAAGAAGTAGCCAACTGGCTGATTCCATCACTAAGAGTTTTGGCTTGCTCCTGCCATGTCGGATTAACAACAAATCGACAATTGCATTGGTATTGCTAGCTTATATCTAATGTTAGAAAACACTAGTACTTTGTACTAAAATGCAGATAAAGGCGATGCTTACCTTAGGGCTATGTCGGTCTGCCAATGGCTCCAGCATCTTCTTTCGTGCTCTGATGTGAGGAAGTAGCAACTCTTCCCGTTTTTTCTGTAAGTCAAAAAATTCATTCCATCGACGGCAGAACACAATTCTAGACAGTGGAAGCCTGCAGATATCGAGTATGAGGAAGCGATTGAATGATGTTAGTAATCGGCGTTGGACTGCCTCAGCCTCACTGATTTGGGACTCATTGAGTTTATCTCCAAAACACATAAACATAAGCAAGCTAAACATAGCAAACCGGAAGTGATCCAGCACCCTGACAACGCCCTTATTACTTGTTACAGCAGAATTTTTTAGTCGATTAAGTAGCATGTCTAGGACCCACTTCCGGGTGTGAGAGAACTCTTTGGTTCTTGAAGGGTGTAGGATTTGTGCAGTCAGATTTTTACGAAGGAGGCGCCAAGTAGAGCCATAGCAAGCTGAACTGATGTTATGCTGGTTACAGGTGAGAATCTTTGCTGTAAGAAACGGCTTAGGACGGTCTGCAAAGACAGTCCCATTCTGAACTAAGGCCTGGTGGGCTAGAGAACGACTGGTGATAAAGATGACAGGATGTGAAGCTATATGTAAAGTAATAATCTTTCCATACTTGGAACAAAGTAATCGAACGGATGTTTCGATTTCTAAGGTTGATTTTAGAAGCCATAAGATGTTACTAATAAAGGGCATGCTTTTCGGTCCAGGAGGACATTTGGACTTGGATTTGGAGTAATTTAGAGAAAGTATAACCATAAACAGAAGTGGGACACATGCTATTACCATAATTACAGAGAATGTTTCCATGTTTGTGTATAATAAGAGGATTCCATTCTACGATTTTATAGAGCTGACAATCGCTTTGACACCGGTGTTACAGCCTTAAGAATAGAAATGGTGATGCACATCAATGATGGACCTCATCAATTATTATAAGTGTAGCGTCTATTTGGATATGGGTTCAGAGGTTTTCAAGGAAATTTAAGTCTTGAATAGGATTGAAGTGCACGCTATCATTAGTCAATCTACTCTTTAAGTGCAATGCAGGTCTCTATTCTGATTAGGTTCATTTTTGGCCAGACATTATGATTTTCATACCTTATTTTATGTTTGATACTTTGATGGCAAGGATAATGACCCTCACCAAAAACATTAACCCTCACGGTTTTTTTGGTCTGGTAAACACTTTGAGAGTGACACCGTGACGGGAAAGGTAAGTACTCTGCATTAGAGTATTACTTTAGTGTGTAAATTACTAAATTGTGTTAACCAATTACAGAGGCATAGAAGTAACTGATACGGATTTTCCTAATGAAGTTCAATAATTATAGTTTACAATGGACAATATTAGGCCATGGTTCTAGGGATTTTATTCTCTGATTATAGCGCAAGTATCACTGTGAATCTGTGATATTATGAGACAGATATCTTGTACAACAGAAAGAGTTGTATTTAACGCTTGTAAAGCTGTAAACTCTAGTCTGTACTACTATGAATTGCTAGAATAAAATCCCTAGAATCATGGGCCATAGCATAATATTGTCAATTGTACACCTAAGTATTATTAAACTTGAGTAAGGCTATGTTTTGTTCACCTTATTTAAAAATCTTATTATTTGTATTTCATTTCAAATTAGATAAATAAGTTCTTATTAGAAATGATAAGTTCAAATCTATGTTTATTGCTTTATGTGCGATTTTTCATTGCTAAATATCTTTAATAATAAGACCCTATTTGATAATTTTTTTCCTTATGAATTCATGTTAGCCGACCCCAAATCATTTTGGGACTAAGGCTTTGTTGTTGTTGTTGTTGAATTAACGAATGTTTATGGTCAAAGCTAAGTATTAGTTTGTTAGATTAGATTAGATAAAAAAAAAGTTAAGATCCGATCAAATAAGGGAACATAAGGTGAACTAAACATAGCTTAATTCAATCTTAATGCTTACTGAATTTTGGGTTAGGCTATTCGATCTAGTCGTGCAAACTCGATGAAATTCACAACTTCCAATCTTATCTATACAATTTTGTATAACCTTTCAAATTAAATGACCCTTATCAAGGATGATACATTGATATTTCATGACTCGTATTATCAATTTTTTTACCATCCCTTTTAACTTTTGTTGCAAATACTCTAAGAAAATGGAGGCCAGGAGTATTATTCAGAACACAGAAGTACTTATTTTTTTTCCGAGATGCAAATAGAAAATTTGGGTCATTTTTAACAACCAAGTAGGTTGAGAGATTGAACTAGTATGAAGTATAATATAATGTAGCTCTGAATCAGAGGAATTTTGGACCAATATAAACAAAAGGGCTGCTTTACTTAATTTTCCTAGGAGAAATTTGTGCATGAAGTGGATTCTTCATTACAATGGTAAACTCTTGCTTCTCAGATAAATCCACTTCATTTCCATCTACAGCAGTCCATTCAAATTTCCATATCAGATTAGCTACAAAGTACTCCAAATGAAGCAGGGCTAATCCGCGGCCAGGACAAATCCTTCTTCCTGCACCGAAGGGCATCATCTTTAATTCGAGGCTTCCAAATCCTGTGATATCAAACTCTTCATGATCTATATCGCGGTCCATGACCATCCCCATGAATCTCTCAGGCTTGAACTGTAAGGGATCATCCCACACCTCAGAATCCTTACCTATCTCAGCAACAGCAAAATTTAAGGATGCATTTCTCGGTATAGTGTAACCACCTAATTCCACCTCTTGTGTCACCCCATGAGGCAAGACAAAGTGACTTGGGGGATGCCGTCTTAGTCCCTCTAATACTACAGCCTTGAGATAAGGCATTTTCGAAAGTGCAACTTCCGGAACTTCCTCTGCTTCTTCTCCTATGACTCCTCTGATTTCTTCAAAGAGCTTAGTTTGGATGTTTGGATGCCTTACAAGGTTTGCCATTATCCATTCCAAAGTCGTCGAGGTTGTATCAGTTCCTGCATTAAGGAATTCAAAACAAAGAGACACTAATTCTTCTTCTGTCAGCTTTCTTGTTCCTGCTGTAGAGTCCTCATTACTAGATGGGATTTCTAGTCTCAGCAAATTATCCACATAACAAGTACTTAGCGTTGTACTTTCGCTTTTATCATCTGCAGTTTCGGCATTCTGATGCTGCTGCTGCCGTGCTCTGATGTAAGGGATAAGCACCTCTTCCTGTTTATACTTCAAGTTAAAGAACTCATTCCAGCGTTTTCGAAACAAAATCCTTGTCAACCAAGCTTGCCTGAAATTAAGTACTCGAAAGCGAGAAAGCAAGGAAGTCAATAACTTCTGAAGTACAGCTTCAATCTCTTTGATCTGAGATTCTTCCATCTTATCCCCAAAACACATGACTACAAGTAAATGAAACATAGAAAACCGAAAGTGATCCATCACTTTCACCACACCCGAATCTGAGCCTGAGCTAGCACTAGCAACCCTGAGACGATCAAGGAGGATGTCAAGGACCCACTTACGAGCCAAGCAGAAGTCCTTGACTCGAGAAGGGTGGAGGATATGTGATGTTAGGTTGCGACGAAGGATGCGCCACAAAGGCCCATAACCTGCTAAGGTGATGGTATGCTGGTTACTGCTAAGTATCTTAGGAATAAGAAGTGGCTCAGGTCGATCAGCAAATAAGGCCCCCTTCTGAACTAGAGCTTGGTAGGCTAAAGCGCGATTGAATATGAATATCACAGGGCGTGAAGGATTTGATGAGAGCGTGACAATTGGACCGAACTTTGAGGTAAGTGCTCTAAGGGCTGTTTGTGATTCTGCAAATGATCTTCTTAACCATATAATCATGGTAATAATTGGCACATATTGGGGTCCTGGGGGCCATTTTTTCGATTTCAGTTTCAGGTTTAAGGATAGGTAAGTGAGTATTAAGGCTGCAATGCATGTTGTTACAGCAATCACAAACCATAGCTCCATGTTTGTTCTCTAATTGTTTAGAATTCTTGCATATTTTGGTAGCAAGCATCTTGTTCAAGGGTATATTTCTGATTTATCAATTTTCAAAAGACAAAAAAAAAAAAAAAAAAAAAAAAAAAAAAAAAAAAAAAAAAAATCTATGTTTGTGTGCTGATATTTGAGTAAAGTCATTGCTGAAAAGTAAACCTTTCAGATATTTGATTGTGTGGCTCTCCTTTCATTATATTCCAATCACCTTATTAATTATTGCACCCCTAGCTTTTTTGCTATGCTTACTTTTTGTTAATTAATCTGGGCAAATACTGCATGAGGTTTTTTTTTTCCTTTTCTTGTGTGGAAATTACGCCTTCAATTTCATTAAATAACAATCCTGATCACAATAGTAGAGAAGTTGTTTCATATTATTGACCTTTGGTCCGGTGTAAAATAACTATTTGCATATTCACAGTGAATAATTATTGCAATGTTATACAAAGTATAACCTTTTTAATTTAGTCTATTTTAAGGGTGTAGCTTTGACTCCATTGAAAATGCAACATTACATATTACAAAACCTATCTAGGATAATCTTATGTAGTTCCATAGTTTAAGAAAAAAAAAACAATTATGCGTTAGTTAGTATACATACAAATATAATCATAAATCATCAGTTTGTCAGCATGTTGCTATCTCTCAAGCAGCAACTAGTTACTTTGTTGGTTTTTACACATCTATTGAACATTTTCATCATCTTTTGTTATTACAATCAAACAAAAAATCTACAATTACTTTACATATGTATATCATTATTTCAAATGCTTGTGATTTCGGAGGTTATACTTTCGTTCATCACAACTCACAACAGAGTTTTCTGACTTTCTTTCCTCTTCAACTGGTGGCATGTAGTTTGGATCTTCATGAATGCTTAAATCTTCCGGCAATTCGGTCTCCACCCATGAAATCCAATCAACTTCACTATCCACTTCTTCATCATCTGAAGGATAATCTCTTACTTTTTGAATGTTGTTTACCTTTTCAATCAAAGTTGCTAACATATTGTGATTTAATGCTTCATAATCCCTGCACAAACCCAAATTAGTTTGTACATACATAGCCATCTGACTTAAGTATTTGTAGTGATTCAAAAAGAAAATACTCTAAGCTTGTTGTTTGAAAATCTGTCTTCTGTATACCTGTATGTAACGAAAGCATACAAAAGCTGTATAACAGCATAAGCGCCAAGAAGTGATTTCACTATTGTTCTGAGTCGAGTTTTCTGTTCAATTTCGATAGATGTAAACTGCAATATACTACACTCTATTGTAAATGCAGTGCATAGACCTGTAAAATTTGTGAAATAATGTTTCATGTAAGAATCTCCATGTACTCTTAAAAAATCTTTTTATTTTCTGCAGGTAAGAAATGCATACCTAGGTAGAGACTGCATCTGACAGAGTAAGTTTGCTTTGTGCTGGTAAACATGTAGAAAACAACAATTAGGAGGGAGTAGATGAAGAAAGCTTTAATAAGCCTTGACTCGAGCAACATGGCATTGTGTAGAGCAAAGATCTTATCAATGGCAGTAAACATATTTGCTTGTTTCGACTCAAAAGTTTCCTACAAAATTTAGAACATACAGATAAATAATTTCAGTCCATAGATTTATATTGTAAGGAGAATCTTTCTTTTCTTCAAATTTCACTTAAGGTACATAATAACCTGAGCTTCCAACATTGATTTTGAATTACTAGCCAAAAGATTGTGAGCCTGCAGTAGCTGTTCCTGCTGCTCCTTAAGTTCTTGGTGTTGCCCCTGCGCAAATCCTAATATCTGCTGTAAAGTAGCCCTGTAAAATATCAGAAGTCTTAAAAGTTTAAGCAAAGAAATATAAATCAGAAGTTCCATTTTTGGAGGGGGCATTTTACCAAGGAAGCACAAACCCTACAAGGGTGTATGTATTGTTGAATTTGTGCTCATACACGGTAAAACAGTATGTGATTTGTGTATGTTAGACCACATACACAAAATATAGATTACAACTTTGTAACATGGTTTTCTATACACGATGCTATCAGTAAACAAAATTAACTTGTGTATGTGTGGGGATGAAGTAGTCTACACACGATGTGCAAATGGATTAGTCCATAAATTTTGTGCAGATGAATTCCACACAATTTGTGCAGTGTACCACTTCTTACCTGCTCTGTTGAAGAGCATTAGACTGAAAATCAGTAAGAGACTGAAGACCCTGAAGAGCCTCTGATTGACTTGCAAGAAGTTGCTGCTGCTTCTCTATCGAAAGTCCAGCCATATCAGCAATATCATCAGTTTTTCCCTGAAGGTTATGCAGCTTTAAAGACAACGCTGCTCCAAGACTAGTAACCTCCTTTTCAACTTCAGATGCCTTCTTCTGCAAACCTTCAATGTCCTTTCTAAGATGACTATAAGATTCTTCTACTCTTGCAATACTTTCTTCCATTTTCTCCTTCATTAGCCCTTGTCCTTTTAGTAACTCTACTTGAGACGAGGCAATACCCCTCGCTTGCTCGTTAAGCTCCTTAGTGTGCTTCATGACAATGCCTAAGTCACCTAGCATGTTCTTAAGGTTGTCTCCCACCTTTTGTGTTTGTTCATCAATCGATGCTATTGATTCTTGGATTTGATTAGAGTTATGAAGCAGAGTATCTGATTTTTCTTCAATGGTTTCTAGTTTTTCTTCTGTAGATAATGCTGAATTTTTCAAGTCATTCACTAAATTTTCAACTTGAAGCTTAAAAGCCTTAGACCTGCATAAAAAATTGTAATTAGGGAAAATAAACACATTAATAATATGTAATAATTCGAGTATAACTTAACTGTAACTGATGGCAAATGGAGTTGGTCTCAAGGTAAAATTCCAAATAAGTCTTATGATCATCATTGTTCAACTTTCGAAGACAATCAACCATGAAACCTTCTGCGTTACACGAAGGAAAAGGATCCCTCCCCGAATCTCTTTGGAAACAATCACTAAGAAGCCAAGCAAGCCTACTTCTCTTTTCCTCTGCAGCAAAAATCTCTGAACACGAAGAAAACAAATTCTTGTACGCATAAAACCAACAAGGATTCGATCCTCCTAACTTCATCCTCGCATTTTCAATTAGTTCAACCGCTTTAGGATCATCCAAGGCTTCCAAAGAAAACTCAGCAACCATACCATTTATATTATTCGCATTCATTGAATATTGGTGATTATTACTGGAAGAAGATGATGAGGATTTAGAGGAAGAAAACCAGCCCCATGAAAAAGAATGGCCTTTTTCCGAAAGTGTAACAAACATTAGCAAAATTAGTCCTACACAAATACAACAATTTCCCATCTCTGACTTCATGGATCAAGGTCACTAACAGCAATCCTTATGAAGAAGATAAATCCTGCATTTGCAAACTAATTATCATAATTAATTTTGATTTTATATGCTGCATTTATGTTTTATAAGAAAGTAAATAATGTATTAGTGTACTTACCAAACGTTACAAGATATTCATTTCATTTTGCTTCATTTTGCTAGAGGATGCATTTTTTGAGCATGCACCTTTTTGATATCAAACATTAATAAGAACTTCCTTTACACAAGTATCCAAAGAGACCATGACAAAAGATAATATGTCGTCTATATCACTATATTGCACTTTGTGGTTCTCTATTATATCAAAACGTATACAAGTATTATGTAGGGTAATAAATGAAAGTAGTTGTACGTATATGATGATATATCCCCGTAAAATTTCAAATTCAATTAATGATTAAAAACTGCATATTTCATATATGTTGGGAAAACCTGGTTACCACATATTCTGATTTATGAATCTGCTTAGATGAAATATACAATGGCCAACATGTTTTTAAAGACACAAAGTTTGCTTAACTTGATTTAAAAAAAAAAAAAAGAAAAAGAAAAAAAAAAATTCAAAACTAAGCAAAATTTAAAAATTGCTTTTACATAATGATCTTTTATCTTACTCTTACACTCTCTGAAATGCAATAATTATTTATGTGAGATATATGATATTAAAAAGAAATGGAGAAAGTATGAATTGAAAATATTGTTGAAGTCCATCATCTGATCTAATGTATATATATGATATGTATTCGTAAATGTCAATACTATGTATATATATAATTACAACGGTATTACATTCTCAAAGTTGAAAAAGCATACAGTAAGGCATGCATAAGCATTCAACAAATAACAAACAAAATTTCATACACAAAATTAACCAAGGAAATGAAAGAATTAAACAAAGAGTGGATACCAGATTAAAATGCAGAGTAATTTGAAAGACAGTTGAAAGTATACGTTATGTTGTGTGAAAATGACTTTAGAACTGGAGATTTGTGAAGAGGTGCGATTATGTTTTGCGCGCGGGAGGGAAAGGCACACAAGAGGCGTCAGTTATTTTCTAGTGCATTCTTTTCACATATTGTATTCTCAATAAATTTTCTAGCATATTAAGGTCTAAAACGGTCATTTTTTTAAATATCAAGATCATTCCGTTCTTTATAATATTAATTTTTAAAGACCGTACCTATCAAATTAGAACAGATAAAGTATGTTTTACTTACTTTTTGATTGTGTTCACACACATAAAATACCCTAACTACCCTTATATCCATGTGATAACAACCATTAATATCCCACCTTTTCTCTCTTTAATTTGTTCGTATCTTTGTAGTACATGGACACATTTGACATTCGGTATATATTACTCTTTTTAACAAATCTTGTGCTCATATTAAATAGTGTGATTTTAAAAAATGAGGAAGTACTCCGTATAAAATAACACAAGGAGTATTTGATTACTAACCCTAGCTATATTGGCTATAAATGTATATGAATATATAATGAACATGAGTGAAAAGAACATATTTGCACCAAAAAAAGTGAAAAGAACATATGTTTATGTTCTTTGATTGTCAGTGTAATGTACTTTTATTTGTGACATAATGTTAATTGTTTACTGTGAAATATTCATTGAATTTTGTCTCCAAATTATGGTGGGTATATATAGATAATGTTTATCACATAATATTATCATGTTCTTTATTAATATTACAGATGTTCTTTAGATATGAAAAAAAAAATATATATAACTAGATGTTCTTTACAAAACAACTATATATTCTTTACAAAATAACTGTATGTTCTTTACAACATAGCTACATGTTCTTTTCACGTTTTTTGGCTGTACCAAGCAAGGTACAACCGCCTGCACCTTAAAATTTTCATTATTAAATGGTTAAGTGAGATTTAGAAGGTATTTAGAAGTAAATTAAGTCAATTAGATGGACTAGATTGTCTTTAACAAAATATTTTTACAACCTGGTTTCCTTTTGCCAATAAACTAAGAATCGGATTTTCTTTTACCAAAAAGTATTTAAAAGGATTTTTTTTTTTCTTTGCAAAATGACATTTTTAAAAGATTTTTTTTGACAAACTTTCCTAATTTATATCAACTTTTTCTATAGTTGTAGCAAATTAGCATTAACATCTTTTGCCTAGACACAGAATTGTACAATTTACACTTTACAGTAAAGAAGAATGTGAAGAAAAAATACGAAGTACTTAATTACATGATCAGTAACATATTTATATACGTAGCTTTTTTTTTTTTTTTTATTTTTTTTTACAAAAGTAGCTATTGACATGGCCAATAATGAAGCCAGGTAAAAAGATTAATCTTGGTGAAGATGTTAAGCTGTCAATCAAAATTATAAAACTAGGGTGTGGCCCTACCTTAATGATTTTTGATATCAACTTTTTACTCTTTTATAGATTTATTTTGACCCTTTGGCTCTCCACGCCTTCAACCCATTATGTTTCACTAATCACCATCACTATTATGCTCGCTATTCTCTCTATCAATTTAAAGTGCCTTTAAACATTATTTACTAAGCTCATATGTACTTCTAGTTTCAATTCTTTTCATGAAATGTCCAAATATATACTTCATATTAGCGCGTTAAATTCTAGGAAGTTTCTAAGAGTAACGCTATTATAAGGGATGCGGATATTGTACCTTTTTTAATAAAGTGTGAAGTATTGTATAATCAGACGGTCTAACAATCTTTCCTATGTATGAAGTTACTCGAGCTCCCATGATGATGTTTTGAGCACCACTTCGGAAAGTCATCTAATTTGATTACCAAATAACAGCAATGTGCCTAGCAGGCTAGCAGCCTAACCCAAGGCAACTCATTATCTCGAATAAAACTACACCATGCCTCCTTTGCACGCCTATGTTTCCTGTACCAACGTTATTTTTTTTTAACCCCGTTTCATGGAGGGGAGCACTACACAGCAGCCGAACACCTTCGTAACTATTAGTGTTGTGTTGCATATACTTACTTCTATATTTGTGAATGTTAGTCTTGTTACATGTAACAATGGACCTCAAAGTAAAAATAACAATTTCTTCTATAATCACTTCTTAATGGAGCAAAAAGAGTTAAAATTAATTAAGTAATTGACATTCTTTATACAACATCATCTGTTGATCTTACATTATATGTACATACATTGTCAGATTTCTCACCTTGGAATCAAGTGCATGATTTACAGACTTATATCATCTAAGTCTAGCAATCCAAACACATTTTATACTTAAACTTCTGATCATCAGGCAGTAGGAAGATAAAATCTTAGAGAGAATTTTGCAAGCTTATACAAGTATATGAATACAAAAAACACTCTTCATAACAAACAGAAGAATTTTTATGCTGAAATCTGAAAAATTTTATCAGCTACTATTGCTGGAACTAGATGAACCAGGCACCAGTTCCCTCAATAAGGCGACGACCTGCAACATATTAGGCCTTCTGGAAGGGAAATCATCGACACATCTCATCGTGATGTCGAGGTATCTCACCATCTCCTTCATTTCCTCTGCATCTGCCTCAATTGATTTTTTAGTAACTGACAGCAACTCTGAATCAATTACTTCAGGTCCTTTGCCTTCTCTGACTTTCATTTTCACCCATCCTACCAAATTGGTGTCTCCGAAATCCTCCTTATCGGTTGGCCTCTTCCCTGTTAGGAGCTCTAGCAAGACAACCCCAAATGAGTAGACATCACCTTTTGCAGTGCACCGGAAGCTCTGATAGTACTCGGGTGGAACATACCCTGGAGTCCCGGCCAATGAACTAACACTCAAGTGAGTATCCAGGGCACTTATGAGTCTTGCCATCCCAAAATCAGACACTCTAGACTCCATTTCATGGTCTAGCAGGACATTGCTAGACTTCATATCGCGATGTATAATATGTGGAATGCAGTTATGGTGAAGGAAGCAAAGTCCCTTGGCTGCTCCTCGCGCTATCTTCTTCCTCTCTTCCCATGTAAGGATCCTCCTGTCTTTCCCTCTTTCTCTCCCATGAAGCATGTCTTCCAAACTACCATACTCCATGAATTCATACACAAGAAGTCTCTCTTCTCCGACCTTACAGTATCCTAAGAGTGGGACTAGATTCTTATGCTTGATCTTCCCTAAAGTTTCCATCTCGGCCATAAACTCCCTGTCACCTTGATGACTAAGCCTTATTAACTTCTTGATTGCAACACTTGATCCATCCTTCAACGTCGCCTTAAAGACCTCCCCAAACCCTCCATGACCTATCATACTCGCGGCTGAAAAACCATTAGTAGCCTCAATAAGCTGAGAGAACTTGAGCTTCCTTAGCTGCCTCTGAAAAGTAGCCACATTGATGCTCAATGGCTCCCTCTCTTTTTCTATCTTCCATGTTGTCGCGGCATGTGCTGCCTGTAAACTATGCAGCATCTTCGCATCCTCTTTTTCTTTCTTCTTCACACGTATTGCAATAGCTGACACAATCAAAATGCACACAGTTGCAATCGAAATCAACAATCCTATCACGATGCTGTTAGTCAACGACGATTTAGATGACCGCCCTTTATCTCTTCCTGTATCATCCTCCACCGGCGTACTCCCTGCATTTACATCCTTGCATTCAGGCAAAGGCACCCCACAAAGGCCAGGATTGTTTGCATACTGAGTAGCTGGAAGTGTACTCAGCTGCCCTCTCTGCGGAATTTGTCCTGTTAACTGATTATTCGACAAATCGATTTGCACCAAAAATGAAAGATTGGAAAATGAATCAGGAATTTCACCCTGCAGCCTGTTATAAGATGCATCAAAAACACCCATATTCTTCAGATTTCCAAGACTTGCAGGAATTTCCCCTGACAACTGATTGTGGGAAATCTCAAGCACTTGTAACGCCACCATATCACCCAACTCATCAGGAATTTTCCCATGAAGTTGATTATAAGAAAGATCAAGATACTCCAAAGTTTGATACTGAGTAAACAAACTCAGGATCGCCCCCGAGTACAATCTAGTAAAATCACAGTTCTTCAGGGAAGGTACTTGAAGC